CGGAAACGCCGCGCCGGCTCGACCTCGCCGAAAGACGCGCGACTACTGTCTGAATGTGGGGCAAGGCTGACCCACGCACACGCACACGCACACGTCGCCGTGTGGGCCGTGGCAAGCACGGCTCTCGTTACTGCCGGCTGGCACAACGTGTACCTTCGCTACTAACCTACCTCCCTCCTCCCGCTTCTCTCCCTCCCGCGCCTCTCAACGAACCTCCATCGCATTTACCCTTCTCCGCAACACCCCTCCATCGCCACGAGGATATATCTGCTCCAGTAGCCCCCTCTGTCCAACCGCGGCAACGACGATCAACCTCTCGAACCACCACCCTTCCGAGTCTACGTACATTGCGCATGCCGCAGTGCCGTACCGAATCAGAACTACCCTGTGCACCCTCATCGAGCGGAATTCCATCGGTCGATTTTTTTCCCCCTTTCGTTTTCTCTTTCTCTCGTATCGAGGGCGCCTCTGCACACAACGCTTATCGGTCGATCCTTCGTCTTTCGTGGTCTCTGTATTTTTACCCCTTTTCTAATTATCCCAGCCATTGTCAGATGTCGTAAGTGTATCATAGGTGAAATCATGCGTTAAGTATTGTTATTCGTGTATTTTCGACGCGTTCGTTTGGATGACATTTTTTCCTCTGGTCAATCGATTCGACTTGCTCTTAACAACGTAAATGTATGCGATACGATTTGGATTTAAAAAATTGGTAAACGCGTGGACGTTGTTTCGTGTCTGGGTTAGGTCGTTACATGGGTGTTTTCAGGTACGAGCAATGGGCGAAGATAGCGTTGCTGCGAGTTCAACGAACTCGCTGGGTTGGGTGGCAGTTTGACAAGAATGAATTTCTTCTTGTCAAGTTTTACGCCTAGGAATCATTGAATCAAACGCAGTACTGGGCAATTTAAATTGCACCATGATTACGGCACGATTGCAACTTCTACGCGTCTTTTATGCTCGACGACTAATTTCTGTTGCAGTATAAATTAATAGAGTTGCTACTCAGTTATTAAAATGTTATGATTACAGACTTTCTTCTGGCGTTATCGATGGACGTGTTTTATAATTACTCATTCAAGACGAGATAAGTAATTAAAGGAGGAGGGAGGCAAGGCGTGTATTGTTTTATTCTTATTTCATACGTGTTTTATTGCGAGCAAAGTAAAATCTACTTTGTACTAATTAATAAGAAGCTCTTCTCTTTTAAAATCGAATGTTGACGTTCCTACCTGATCAACCATTCAAAATGTCTCTTTCCTTTGAAAAACACCGATCTAATTTCTGATCGATCGAAATTGATCTAACTTTGACAATAGCACGAGAGCTCAACATTATTCGTTGATAGTAACGTTTGTCTTCATACGTAAAAAAGTATTTTGGGAATCTATGAATTTTATTAACCTTAATTTCTTCTATCTTAAAGAGCCAAACTTTGTGACATTTGATGCGCGATCGAATTTTTACGAATCGATAATAATACGATAAAAATCTTTCGATGACTCAAACGAAATCAATTTTAAATTTCGTTTAATGCATCTGTACGATTCTTCCGTATGGTATCGTTATTTCTTTCCTCTTCCGCGTATCACATGTACAATTTATTTTCCTATTTCCACTGAAATTGCGAACCAGGCCACAAATTTTTATTCCTTCGTTTCTTCATACACATACACGAAGTGTGCACATACACCTCCCTTTGCATACAACTACAAACTTTACATTATTCTCAAATGACCAACCTTTGGAATTAATTTAAGCGCTGTAAAAGAATTTATTGCTCCTGTACATTGTACAGTGTACGGTACACGTTTTCTTCTTTCTTCTCTTTCGTTTATCAGATATGCTCGATTACTTAATAACCGTCATCGTAAAATAAATAAAACAAAAAAAAGCCGCGTATCGCATGATATTTCCAAGTGGTCGACACTTTATTAATCCCACGCATAAGTAGTTCGAAGAACTTGTTAGGATATTTTTAAAAGGCACGCTTTCCTCGCGTGTTGCCCAATGGGAACGTGTGAGTGGATTACGACGCTGCGTGCGTTTATGCAGATGCAGCGAAGAATTTTATTAAAACTCTTTAAGACCTCCTTTATACACAGTAGATACACTGCTCGTTCCTCTTGTCGTTTATGCGGATATAGGATCTTTGCATCGAGGTAGGAACTCTCAATGTAAGAACTCGAACATTAAAAACAAATCACTCGAGGACAAAGAAACATACGAATAAAAGAAAATGGTAATATTTATTGGAAAATGAGAAAACAAATAAAACGTAATTATCATATCGTATATGAGATGCTAGTAGTATAGCAGAGAAACAAATTTGTCATTTCCTAGCAGTAGGTTAGCTGTACATTTTTTGTCTTTTGAATTAACTGCTTCGTGTGAGCTACGTATATAGTTTTTTTTATTTAGTCAACATAAGATATTTTATGTTATTGAAGTTCCTCTAATGTTCTTTGCAATGATGTTTATTCGTAAGCTTGAATGACAAGTTATCGCTTCGTTATTATATCTTGCTTCCATTATTAATGCATTACCCTAAATCGTTTTAAATAGGAATTTAATGATACAACCATACAATTCTGACATCCCGTTTCTTTTCTGAAAATCTATACCTATACAAAGTAATTTATTTATTTTTTTTTTCTTTTCTTAAATGTATTTTCTTACGCATTATTTCATCAATAAATCAGATTTTATGATTATATCATTAAGTAAAGTGAACTTACAGCGTGCACCACTGTATTAATTGATTACTGCCTTGTTAGTTTCTAGATAGAAACCAAATTTCCAATTCGCAATAACGTTTCACGTATCACCTATACATGTAATAAATGTATTAGATCCAAACTAATGGGAGAATTCGCATATTACAAGTTCAAATTACGACTCTATACTGATTATATCAATTATTCTGATTCCACTTGTGTAGACAAGAGCAGAGCATACATAAGAGCAAATAAGCTGTTAACGTTATTCCCAACTACCCTAATTTATTACTTCCTGCGTGTATTTAAAATATCTACGAAGTGCTTCGTAAAAACTACGCAAACTCTACCTCCAACTCGGAAAAGTTTTATGAAACTTAAAAAAGTAAGAAAAAGAATGCTCCGACCGATCGTATGCAGATGTTTCATTACGCGTAACACCGTTACGTCGCATCGACAGCACGCTCGTTCGCAGAAAGCGTAACGAGGCAAAGGAAACACGCACGACTGCTTAAAAATCTACTTCACCTAATCGAAACGAGTTCGTTGCGTGCAATGGCGCATGCGTGGCCAAACACTTATCCGAAGGCCAGGATCTGGCCGATTCCTGGTATCGTGTCGGTAAACGATAAAAGATCGTGGAAAAGCTCGCGCTTTTGTCCGGCGCGACAAAACGCGCGACCGCGTACACGAACTGTGTCACGTTCAACAGTTTACCCTACATTCAACAGTGTTCCGTGAGCAGCAGGGATGCTTTGAAACGCACCACCCTCGAGGACAATGACTAGCGTCGCGAAAGAATTTCAACAGACACGGAAGAATCGACCAAGAAAGAGTTTTTAGAAAAGCCAACCAGGAAGATCGAGCGAAAGGCATATTCGAAGCAATCGAGAAACACAGACCCAAGATTTCAATGGTACATAGAGTGGTTCAGGAAGCAGATGGCAACGTTTTGGTGGTTTGTCGCGTTCGCGGTGGCAACAGCTGGTGTAAATGACAGTCTGGAAGTCTTTCTTTTCTGCTGTCCCGTGTTTTGGACACGTGACAGGAAAAAAGATTGGGTTTTAGATGTACGAGGTATACTTACACATGGTGAAACGACTGCACGTTTCTACCTGAGATATCTCATCCGCATATGTTAATTATTATGGACTTGAATCGTTGGAAATATATCTGAATAAAAAAAAAGTCCGTAAAAATAGCTTGCTAACCTGAAACATTTTCCTCTGCCGTTACTATCTCTGCTTCTTTCGCTCGAACCATACAAACTGGTAAGACATTCGATGTTTACTATGCAAATGATAAGCCTTTGACACGAATCTCCCTTTATGCCAGCAGAACCAAAGCCTAGCCTCGAAAGTTACCTACTTCGGAAACACCCAGTAGACAAACTAAGAAGCACACCCGAGAATTGCGCGTGGTTCGGTGTCAGAGTCGTCGCGAAAATGGAACCGCGTCTCGAGCAACGAGACCCAGCTAACTCAAAGCTCTTCTCGTCCCTCGACAGCTTCGCTCCGCCTTCTGCCTTGCCAACCTCCTATCCTCAGACTTTCTTCGGTTCGCCAAGGTATTCTCCAGAGAAATTATATTGCGACCCAAAGCACGGTCGGTGGATGGCGCGGCGAGAGAGCCGGAAAGTGCGATAATTCGCCGCAACGCACGCGGTGTATTCAACCAGTGGCGGTAATATACCCGAGCTGGATGTTGACCTATAGGGTGACGCAGGATAAAGTCGCGAAGCAACTCGATGACCGATTTTGCTGCAAGCT